ATGGCACATGTCTTCAGTTCCAACATGTCCTTCATTGCCATTCTCTCTGTACTGGTATGCATTTTTTCTTTCCTGATATTTTCTGATTTATTATTTTATGTTAACTATTTCTTAAAGATTTAAAGCTGTACAACTTTCCTCTAACAGATAAATTAGCGAAAAGGGTAGAAATATGCCTTCAGATTTTGTGTGATTGCTAATAGCTTGCTTCTTAAATTCGTCATCGCTGTCCACACTTCACTGACCTCGGGCAACTATCAAAGCAAATATCGCATACGGGTAAAGTGTAGTTGACAGTATTTCCCATAGCCGTAAAAACAGATTTATCGGTTTAAACCATACCCTTTGAAAGAAGAACTCTGAATGGAGTTCGGAAGCGATTTGTCTCAGAAAACCCATTCAGCCACCTGTACCGGGATCGCTGGATCGCAGTTTTCCAGTTATACCCATCTTCTCACGATTATATGTGAACATGAATGAGATAGAGATCGACTTGAGCACAGACAGCTTAGTCTTCAGACTCAACTCTGCTTTACCCGCTGGCCGTTGCAAATCGTTGTCGATCTTTTCCTTCAATTTTTAATCACTAGCAAACGCGTCCCAGGGGTACTTGAACTTCTCCACCTGCTCCACCGCTTCTCCTGAATAATCAGAGTTAATTAAATTAAAATTGATGACAGTCTAAAATGTAGTTTTTAAGAACTTCTCTGAAAGTGCGTGATTGAAGAGCGAGAGTTTTTGTATTTTATCAGAGGAAAAGTCAGCTGATACTAGTCCATGTTCGAAGTACTTCATTTGTGCTTGTTTCAAAGTCTTCTAGCAATTGAGCATTCATGATCTCATCGATTAGTCCGTAACTGAGTATTTTGTCCTATTAAGAGCATACAAAAACATACTAGCGCATTGTTTTCCTTCTTGGTAACGGTCCATGTTATTAAGGCATGCATGAGTACTTTTCGAATAGCTCTCGAACATAACGGAATTTTACTGGCATACTGGCATCTATTTTCCACAGATTTTTCTTCATCATGTTAAGCCTGTTAAACGTTTCGAGCCTTCCTGAATCTTGCTTGACCATCTGCTTTACAACTTTACGAGTGACTGTCGATCATAAGTACCGGAACTTGGTGACATGCTCCATATGTTTCCGTCAATTTTCATGATGTTGTATCTTCTGGGGCATACCGTTAAGCAGTTTGTACGTTGCATATCGAAGGTTTTGGTCTCAGCCCGTGCTTGG